TCAATGGTCCAAGAAAACCAGGACTCACCATATCTTCAAGTTCACAATCAATTGTTTTTGAATATTTACACTGACAGAGATGGCAATTGTTGTTTATTGTTTTTGGTCAACATGTATCGGATGAAAATTCTTCGGAGTTGTAGCAGAAACGTTTTTTTATAAGAAAGTTTGGGCATTATGTCAGGCAATTGTTTGTCTTAAAGTTAACACCAAGCGTAAAAAAATGATTTGCTGATAAAATGTAGGGCCAAAAACTTTGCCTTGCAAATTCTAATAATTTAATTTTACTATAGTATTTTAAAGGGTTGATCTAACTTGTATTATTAAGGTACAGAATAAAAAAATCATATTTTAAATTATATATGATGTTAAATATTTTTTTGAAATTAATATTTAAAATATTAAAATATTTAAAATTAATGAGAGATATAGTAATTAAAGTTAGAGGGTAAGGATAGAGTTAAACAGGGAAAATATTTATTTTTTTAAATAAGAAAAATAATAATTAATTTACACTAAAATTTTATAATAAAAAACATTTTGTAATTTTAATTATATTAAATTGTATAATATAAATAATTAAAGAAGAAAAATCTATTCACAAACACAAACTTTTAAGTAAAAAATATAATTATCTTTAATAAATAAAAATAAATTTTAATTACTAAAAATAAATAATTAATTAAAATTTTATATAAATATAATATATAAAATTTATATATAAATTGATTTATACTCGTTATTAAATGAAAGTAGGTCATTGATATTAAGAACCATCCTTATTAAACTGTTTTATTGTTTCAATGGTAAACTACGAGACTCTTCAAGAGAAAGGATAGGAAGCAAAATTTGTCAAATAAAAATGAACAAAACGCACAAAAGTCATGCGTTTTGTCCTTCTTCCTCCTTTTTTCCTCCTGTAACCCTGATTAGGGCTAAGTTCATGTGGATTCTCTCCAACTCCTTCAATTAACCACGCGGAAGGCCCAATTTGGCGATGGCTTCAAACGAAGGGAGGCTCCATTCTCTGCTACTTGGCCGATTCTACCATGCTTGTCCGGAAGCCAGCTAAGAGAGACGCCCGTCCTCTTCCCCATTGGTCCAGCACCGAGCAAGGACGAAGGTAGTTTAACAAGGTCGTCATCAATCAACAGTGAAATGTTGAGGAACAATCGAACGGCAAGAATTGAAGGTCTCCTACGGCGATAAATAGCCATGGTGGGTGCTCGTGAGAGACAAGCAAGAAGCCAGTGGTGACGGAAGATGCCCCCCAAGGCACGGAACAAGCTTGGGTGAGCAAAGAGCGAAATATCAGAAGCTGAGAAGAGCAATTCTGACGAAATTGGGGATATTTGGCTTCTAAGGTAACTACAGATGTATTGTCCTTGTTATTTCTGTCTTTGTTGAAATTTTATGAAGCAAAGATATCTTTTGACTACTGGCTTTTAGCTTCAGGAATGTGCAATAGTAGTAAGTCTGAATATACAAAACTCCTTTGTTTCAAATGTTGGCACTTTTTAATTGGCATGCTGCAAAATCAGTACTAGAGCAAGAGTTGAGTGTGATGTAGTGCTATAGAAGAAATTCACTTGTGGTATGCCTCATTCGAAGGAATTTAGCAACAACAACAACAACAACAAAAGGAATTTAGCACGAAGCAGGTGTGCATAAGTTAGAATTGGAAATTAT